ATTTGTTAGAGATTATTTTTTGACAAAGTATAGGAAATTTGTCACACAAGCAAGATCTACAGGTGCTTGGAAAATAATATTCAAGATTTGATTTCATTTATATTGTAAAACAAATCATCTCCTATTAATTTTATTCCTAAATTTTGGGACATATCAATCTGCAACCATTTCAGCAATCATTGTTGCACATGTGTGTGTGTCATATGCAATATGATAATAAATATTGAAGAAGGAATTATAATTAAATAAGAGGATCATCGTTGAATGTTTTTTTTTTCGCGGAAGAACAATCTTCTGCACAATTCTCATTTTTCTTTATTGTGAAATATGCAAATAACGAAAGGGCAATGCTCAAGGTCGACAGCTTGGCACAGTCAGTCACGAGGAGAACTCTGGCAAGCGTTAAAAGCTTTCTCTCTCTTTCTCTTTCATCGTCCTCGTCCTCGTCCTCACCGTCATAGTTCTCGTGGTCACATAATTTCTCATTCCACTGCACCGATGTGCGATCCATCTAATGCTCGTAGCTTATAAGGGGTCACCAGAGGATAAAATTATAACGTGGAAAGTGTCATCGGCGTTCGATCGACTAAAGAAACAGCATCCTTGACTATAGTCTGTGAAAATCGAAGGACGTTGATTTAATTCAACTGTTATTAACAACTAACATTTAGCATTATCATTATTATTTTATTTATTTATTTATTTCATTATTTATCGGCTTTTAATATGCATATATAACACAATTGTTACTAGTCTGTGAATCATTTTCAAAAAATTATTTCGTATTTTAATTGTACATATTGCATAAATATCAGAAATTCGAATGTAGGATTAACAAACAACGTTTAGAATTATTGCGATTATTATTAGTAACCCCCTGCGGTTCTGGGGGTAGGGGTAGAAGAATAAGACCGCAGTAACCCTTGCTTGTCGTAAGAGGCGACTAAAAAGGGCGACCCATTAATAGGGTTAACATCCCTTTAATGTCTACAATGAAATTAGGTTCGAAAGAAGGAATCCAAAGAGAATTTCGGATATGTATATTATCGTTGTTGAATTATTACAACAAAAAATATATTTAAATTTTTTCCTCTGAATAGAATAAAATTATTTTTTAAATCAAAATTGTGTGTTATAGTCGAATAATATAAAGTGTAAATTATCAGAGAGAAGATAGAAACACCGTGAATCGATTCTCATCGTTGAATAAATTTCACCCTCGTATTTGACTACTCTCTCTCTCTCTCTATCTATCTATCTCTCTCTCTTTTATATTGTCTTTTTTATTATTTTCTTTGACGAGGGGTGAACCGTGTGTTGATGCATACGCGACCTTCTAACATACCTTTTTTTTCTCTTATATAGTTTTAACACCAATGGCTGGGTTGATACAACAATCGTGCTTTTGTTTAATATCGATTTTCGTGTTATTTCATGCACTATCGGGAATAAATAAATCGAACGAGAAACGGGGAAGAACAATTAATTGCATGTCCGATTAATTCGAAGTTTATTTATCGAAAATTTTCTCGGTTTCCTTTGAAAGGTTATATTTAATCGAGACTCGGTCATGCAACTTGACATTAGTTAACATGATTTTTCTAAAAAAAAAAAAAAAAACAAAAAGACAAAAAACCCTTTGGCCTTTAAAAGGGTTAAAGGGGATACTAATTTGTAGATCCTAAAATGATTGCAGACAAAACATAATAGACTCTAGTTGAGATTTTCTAAAAAATGTGCATGATTATTGAATTCATTTTAAATACTATATATTATAAATAAATGAAACATATATATTTTCTAATCAATAATTCTCCTTGGCATTCTCAATATAAAAAAAAAGCAAATAATATAAATAAATTATATGCAATATATGTTTAATAATTAATATGGAAACGCGTTAAAGTGTTAAATTACAGGGAAGAGAAATGTTGTAACAGAATACCTAAAGAAAATAATAATAATACCAAACGTTTGTTAGACAAATTGTGTTTAAACATGCGCGTGTTTGTGTTATCGATACTTCTAGTCGACGTTCTCGTTGTCGTTCTCGTTCTCGACGTTTTATTCGTCGTTGTCGTCGTCGTAGAGTTGTTGTACGAACGCGACGACGATTTCATTGAGAACTTATATTCAATGGCAGAGTTCATGGACGCGTCTCGAAGCGCATCGACGCTTAGTGAGATGCGTCACCGGCGTATCGACCAATCAGAAAACGACACGTGTCGCAATGCTTACGTTCAATTAGTATCGATGCTAATTAAAGGCCATCCGTAAACAAAAGGTCGTTGCTTTCAACTAGTCGATAAATATTATAAGATAGATTTATCTTAACTAATCGAACATTTTCGATTTAATAATGGTGGTGGTATCTAAAACATTTTATCCGATTGTTTATTGTTTTTTTTTTCCTCACTACTATTTGCATAAGTATTTGATTCGATATGTGGAATAAAAAGTATTGTCCAATGTTTAAATTTCGTTGTATTTTTCCACCATTGGAATCGTGTGTAAATTCCAAAACGTTTTATAGTTAACAACACTCAGAGATTATGTTAGAAAATAATATATGACACATTGAGAGAGAATAATATCTTAACGTTAATCCTTACGTCAAGTTTCGCACGTGTGAATCTTTTACAACACGTGAACGCACGTAACCACACGTAACACTTGTATATATGCACCTACAACATACAATATATATATATAAATAGACAAATAGAGATAGAAATATAGATAGATAGATAGATAGATAGATCGTACGCACCTATCAATATGCGTGTATGTGTGATTACCTATGTGTTTTATAAAAAACAAAGTGCCAACGAGCTATTCTTGCTTCGTCATTATACCAATTACTAATACATTAAACATATTACACTATGCAAATAACTATACCGATATCATTATAGCGATCAATCTAATCTAAGAGAATATGAAAAAATCGAGATTTTATTTTATTTTATATTATTGTCTTTTTTTTTTGTTTTATTACAAATATTTCCAACACATTCATTTGAGTCATACATTTTTCAATTGAACTATCACTATTTAATATAAATGATATCAAATGATTAATTAACAACGAAAAAATAAGAGAAAGAAAGAAAGAAACAATAATGATTTAAACGTTTCTCATTTTGTTTCGTTTATAAGAAGAAACATTGCGTGCATTTTTCTCTCATTCGTAACAACAAATCGAGAATGTAATAAAAAGAGATAGAAAGAATGAGTGAGTGTATGTAAGTGTATATGCATGCATGCATATGTGTCCTGTGTGAGAGAGATGAAAAGAGTTTGATGCTGCGACGCAGGAGAATGAAGTTTTCCTTGAACTTTGGTATCGAGATAGCTGTGCATGAACAATTAATGAAACAATAAGAGGAAAAGAAACAAAAACGTATAAAATGATAAAGACAGTGACTGAAATAGACAGAAACCTGAGATAGATACAAAAAATGGATATAGATAGTGCTATAATTATTAATTTAGACTCATTGTTACATTCCTTTTTTTCTTCTTCTTTATCTATCAAAATTATTCTAGCAGTTTATAAACGTGGCACTCTATTTTTTATTATTAATTGCGTTTCTTATTTGTTTTCTTTGAATGTTTCTTTTTTTTTTTTTGGAAAAATTCTCGATAAAACAATTTTAACATTCAAATGCAATTAATATCTCTCAACCAATCATTTTAAGATTCATTCACATATGTAAGAAAGAGATAAAAGAATGTATGTATGTATGCATGTGTACGTGTGTGTTGTTTGAGAGAGAGAGAGAAAAGGCATTGAACGAATCGAATGAATGAGAAGGGTTTGACCCACATAAGTTCTTAGAAGCTCCATTACGTGACTGGAAAAATATTCTCCATTCTTTGTAAGAAAACTACGAAGTTATATGAAAAATCGACTAAATATTTTCTTTCATTTTTCTTGATAAATTTTTCTAAATAAAAACCACCATAGATATACGATGAATCAATCAATCAATCAATATTATTAATCAAATACTATTTCAAAAAATATCATTCATTAAATTTGATTTATAAATTTCTTAAGATTTTAAATGAACAACTTTCCTTCTCTTGCTCTATATAAATATATATGATCAATCAAAATTAATTAACAAATTACTCTCTTTCAAATATTATAAATAAAATTACTTTAGAAAAATTTCATATCTAATTTATTGATCGATCTAATTAAAAATGAATGTTTTATTTAATATCATCTCAGTATAGACGAATGGAAATAATAATTTAATATTAAATAAATGTTGCACACATATTTTAAAGTGATTTATCATAGACAGGATATTTCTCTTAACGTTCAACTCCTTTATTTATATGTTATTATCTTTCTCTCTCTCTCTATATATATATATATGTATATATAAATCAATGTATTATACATGTACTATGCTTCCGTGAAAGTACTATGAGAAAGGAAGGAGAATTGTTATAGGGGAAAAAGAGAGGGAAGTTGGTGCTCGTAAAGCGGATGAAACATTTTATGGGAGACGATTCGAGAAACGAGAAAATTTCTACGAAACCGTAGAATATTTTTGTATAAACAATACAAATAAAAAAAAAGAAAAAAAGAAACGTTTATACGATTTTTATCGTTTATTTGATCGTTTATTTGATGGTCAAAGTTTCGTTCGTTTTAATACACTAAAAACCGGTCTCTCCGAGGATCGTAAAAGATTGGAACGGGCCTCCAAAAGTTTGGAGGTAATTTGAAAAATCGTAACATTTTATTAAGATAGTATTGTTAATTGATCATTCGAGAAGAGAACTGAATTTATGAGGTCTCCTGGAATAAATAATTAATGTAATAAATGAATGTGAATAATTTTCGGCAGCAGCATTGATATTAGAAATATATTCTTAACAAATTTTATACCAAAATTGATAAAAATAATATATCAATTGAAATAATAAAATGTGTGTGTGTGTTTTTAAAATGTTGGATTTATTTGTTTGTTTATTTCTAGACGGCGTTAAGCAATTTGGAAGAAATGCAACAACATTCAATGGTATATCGAAGTAACGAAAGGGGTAGGCATATGGGGGTTGGTCCGGTACGTTCGCGTCCCATGGAAAAAAGACACGACACATCCCCATACAGTGGAGTTTCTTATCTTTCACCATCGTTACCTGACACGTGGCGAAGGACTAATTCGGATTCAGCATTGCATCAAAGCGCTAATGAAGCTTGCCAATCAGCGACCACTATGCCTCATCGAAGAGGTATTATCATATTATTATTATTATTAATATTATTCATACTATTTTTCATAATTTTTTTGTTAGTTGGATAATAAATGAAATTGATCGAATAATATTTACCAAAGTGCCAGCACATTATCGTTTTAGTTGCATCGGTTTTCGAATACTCGGAATAAGAAAGTTTTCAAAATTCATGCGTTCTCCGAATGCTACGATTTTATGTTCGCGTAATGCGCTGGCGATTCACTTGCGTTTTACGTAAAAAACTAAAAATAGTTTACCCTCTTTCTCCCTGTCTCTCTCTCTTTCTCCCTTTCTCTCTCTCTCTCTCTCTCTCTCTCTCTCTCTCTCTCTTTGTTTTGTTATTTTTCCCATTCGCTTAATAAAAAATGTAAATGATTATTCATTGTTGAGTATTTTTATCTACGCGTGCATACATCAAATATAAACACTCTAACTTGTGAGAACGTATTTTAACATATTGTTTTTATTTTGTTATTTTTTTATAGATGTGTTATTTCAAAATGATTATTATTTCTTTCTTTAATTGTAATTACTTTGGGAACAATATTTTAATAATCGTAATAATTAAAAATGTTCTCCATTTAAATAATTATTTATATGTTTGTTAATCTATAGATCAGCACAATATGAACAGCGGTAGTAATGATAACAGAGAAACGTATCATGGTTCAATCGAAAGACCAAGATCGTCATGCGAGATGCCACGAGTACCTGGAATCAAGTACGTGTGTATATATATATATAATATATAATATATTTATTTGATTATGTTCCATTTTTATATATTAGATCGGGTATTCAAAGTTTGCATAATTATATGCACCCCCAAATTATGGCAGGTTCAATGATAGATAGATTAAAAAACAAACTATTATGCGCAGAGTACATATTCATATCTATATGTGTGTATAGATAATATTAATATTTAATTTATACTTATATTCTTATATATGTATTATATTAAAATGTGTATGAGAAAAAAAGTTGGCGTACCTTTTAAAGGTAACGAAAAAAGAAGATCCGATTTCCTCTCTTCTTACTTTTTAAATATTATCATCGTCAAAGTGTATACGCGTTCTAGCATAATTCATATTACGTCGACTTTGTACAAGTGCATATGTATTGTATTCCATGCATACCGAACTCATCGATGCAAACGTGTTACATACTAATAATGCACAATATATACTTGGAAAGTTTACTTTGTTTCTATGATAACGACATTGACACATTATACGTCGTATTATTATCTTCGATTTTTTATTTTTATTTCTTTTTTTATTTTTGTTTTCTTTCTTTTCTTTCGAAAATTTTTGTTTCCTCTCGTCCACCCCATACTTATATATATATATATTTTTCAATATTTGATTAATCCTTTTATTACATTTTTAATTGAATTATTTTAATACACCAATTGACGGACAATAAGATTAACACACATTTATAATTCAATAATAATTATTGAAATCTTTTTCTTTCATATGTGTATAGCATATGTTTGAGTTCACAACCACCTGGACAACAAATTCCTATAGGAAATAATACGGGGTCGTTGCCAGACTTGAGCAACGTCCATTTTCCATCACCCCTTCACACCCCTCTAGACCAAGAGGATCACACCAGTAGTACACCCTTCAGCAACGTAAGTAAATATTTTCAATTAATATTACATACACTCCAATTATTTTATTCTTCAATTCATTTCTTCCCTCCACCGTTATATCATCCATTATATTTGCGTTTAAGAATAATCACACCTCCCCCCTTCTTCGCCCTTTTACTTCAATACTTTTTTCTTTTCGTGTTTTTTAAATTCGATGTAAAGGTGTTCCCCCCCTATTACACCATTCTTCTTCTATCCATCATATTTTGTTGGATGTTATTTTAATCTTTTTTGGAAGGGGGGGAATGGGGAATGGGGAACGGGGAAGGGATTTTTTTCTGATTTTTTATTCGTTTTACACCTAAAGTAGAAATGTTGTTACACGACGCACGACTTACGATTGTTGAGATACGTACGTAATCTAAATTACGTGACGGTGACGGGCAATTTTGCAAATTCGTTATGGTCACGTCGAGGTTTTGCTTTAGTTTAACCCAAAATAAAATAAAAAAGATAAGAAAAATATAATAATTAAATAAAAGAGAAGAAAAAGGAAAAGAAAAAGACAATTTTTATATCTCGAGTGTTAGAATAAAAGAAACATCGGGAGTCGTTACGTTGTTTTTTTCCGATAGTTTGTACAAAAAATACATGCACAATACATACATACATATATACAAAAAAGAAACCATTTATGCAGGGTGTTTCGTAATTATGTGGGATCCACTTAAGAATAAAGTTCATACAAAAATGTGTCCCTGTTTGTGATCGTGTATTTTAAATCAATACAGAAGAATGAAATATTTCGAATATTGTTTAATTAACAAATTACAGGATGCGAAATCTTTTGACTGACCGCATTTGATGGGATGGTTCAGATTTAACATTAAATTTCCATCATAATTACGAATAATCCTGTATTATATTTGAGAAAAAGAAAAAAGAACCATAATAATTGTAGAGATGATCGTATAGAATTGAGAAGAACAAATTTGTTGAAAGAAATTGGTAAAAAATCTGTGTACAACTGGTGTATTCCAGAGTCCTCAAACGAGCAGTCCTACAAACCTGTCGCCGACCAGCTTGGCACAAGCTGGTAGGCTATCCCTTTCACAGGATCACAATCCGTCAAGTGCCCAAGTAAATATCCTATCGCCAACAAAAAAAAATAAAACAAATATATACCCCGTAAATTATTCTATTATTATTAGTTTTGTAGCGTTCGTGCATTTGTTAGACGTTCGTCGAATAATTTTGTTCTCTTTTATTCTTTTTTTTACCCCCCTTTTACGAAGCATTCGATATTCACAAATTATATAATTAATATATTGTTATATTTTAATAATATTAAATTATATAAAGATTACAATTATTCTAATTCATCTTTTATTTTGTATTGAAAAAATGATTGAACATTCTTGAGATTTCTTCGAATGGTTCGTATTTGATTAGAAGAATGTTAGAAGTATCGGAAGTGAGAGGGATCATTCATTTAAGAAAATAATAAAATAAACCAATTGGGTTTCGATTGAAAAAAATGTACAATTGTAAATAATTCATTTTATTTTATTGTTTTTTTTGGGACGAGGGGGAAGTTTTGAAACTTCTCACTTCCGTAGGAATAATACTAATTGCTTTGATCAGAATTTAGGATGAGAGTTTAGTAGCAACTTGCATGAACTGAATTTAGAAAAGAAAAAGCAAAAAAAAAAAAAAGGAAAAGACAATAATTACAAAAGAAACAAAGAAGCAAAGGAATATTAAATAAAAAAAGAAAATTTTCCTATGCTTTTCTCTGTGTTCTCTATACCAAGCATCTCATACGCATTGGGATTTTTTTCCACACACATTGCCAAATTTTACTAATTTTATTTCCAAATTATAGTAATACGAGAATCAAATCAAATCAAATCAAATCAAATAAATTGTGTTTCCCAATACGTTTTCGCGAGTGCACAAATACTCTAGTAAATATATAAATTAAAAATTATTTTAAAAATAGAAAAATATGTGCAACATAGTAAAAAATCCCGCTTATGGAATTTCACCCTAAATATCAACCTTTCAGTTTGTCCATTATTTTTATTTTGCCTTTGTTGTAGTGGTCGTTTGTGTTTTGTTATTTTGCAGAACCATTTATCAGTGCCTGTTAACTCTAGGTTCCTTCACGCGTGTAAGGTCAGTAGTATATTACACACTATAATTTCTTTGCTTTTAATCATGCCGATATAAGCACGCTGATACACATACGCACATACACATATATATATATACATCGCACATACAATCATATTTTTTCCATACATGCATTTATACATTTGATAATGATACGCTTCTTTTTTTTTTTATTTAACTTACACTCATATATACGTATATATATGTGTGTGTATATGTATATATATATATATATTTACACACGTACATAAACATGCGAATTATTAATTAAAAGTAGTGCCCTTATCTCGTTTGTGCTTGAAAATTTATTTTTTTATTCAAGTAAGATAAGTTCTCGCACAATCGATTGAATTATTAATCGAATACAATGTTTATAATGATTTTTATACGAGAGAGAGAGAATCATAATGTTTCATTTAATACAATATAATAATGTTTGATTACAAAAATTAAAAGAAAGGGGTGAGGGGTAGTAGCAAAATGTTAATAGCGTAAATAATAGTGATCGATTTGTTCGATTATGCGAGTTCTTCTTTTTATCGTTGAAGTATTTAACGATGGTACCATATATAATGATGAAAATATAAATAAAATATATATATAAAATGGAGGAAATTGTTATATAAAAAAAAAAAAAGAAAAAAAGAAAAAAAAAAGAAAAGAGAATGAGAGAATGTGAGAAAGAGAGAGAGAGAAAGAGAGAGAGAGAGAGAGAGAGAGAAAGAAAGCATGGTGAGAAGATTGTGCACGAGAATCGATCGGTTAATAGAGATGGGTATGATGAAGCAGGGTGTGGCGCTGGAAAACAGCACAAGTACTTCGCAACAGGATCTTCAGAATTATTCTCAACAACCGGCACCTCAACCACCACCTTCGATATCTCACAATCCAGCTGGTCATTATATTTATCAACAACAACCACATAGTCCTGTGCCACCACAAAGCCCGGTTAGTATTTTTATATATAATACATATATGTATTATCTTAATCAATGAGATATTTTATATCCCAATTAATTTCTCATTTATCTTATCAGATTAATTGATTATTATAAAATACTTTGATAATAAATGATAATGATATGTTAGTATTGTGAATTGAATTTGTAATTTTAATTTGTAATATTAAGTTAATTTTTTTAATACAAACTTTTTTTTGTTTTATCCAAACTTTCATATATATATATATATTATGTTACCTGTGAAAGATTTAAATTGGAAAATGTCAAAATTCGCATGGTGAAATGTCAATGCATATTAAATACATCGGTGAAAGATCGAATATTTGGGTTTATTTTTATGCATTAATATTTCGGGCCAATATACCAAACGATCATATAAATCTTGACATTCTCTAATTTCAATCTTTCATGTTATAATATATATATATAGATAATTTTTTATGGCGATCAAAAATGAATATACATTATTATTATTATTATTATTATTATTATTATGATAATCGTGATCGTTATTAAAGAGGGAAGTTGCCTTTTAAGTCCAACATATCTTCGTTCGTTTATTCTGCGAACGGATTTGACGGGATATTGGTTAGTCATCGTTCTGTGCCATGAGTTGGAGTATCTAAGGATACATTTCAAGGACGATTGACAAATTCTTTTAATATTCTTTAGAGCTATTAATTTCATCTGTCTTCATTTTCTTTTTGTTTTTGTTTTAAAACAATTTCTCATCGTAATAATAAAAGTTTTGAGAGGATAGATAAATTCTAATCGAAAAGTATTAACAGTATAAATTAGATTGAACCCTTTAAAGTGTTAAACGTGTTCTCGACAGTACTGGACGCATATATGCGTTCTTATTGTTTGTACCAACACCGATTTCTTTCGTTGAACGCATAATACTAAATAAAAGGGTTGATATGATTTAGAAAACGTCACAATCTCAGCAATCGCAACATCAGCAGCATCAACAGCATCAACAACAACATCAGCAACATCAACAACAACATCAGCAACATCAACAACAACATCAGCAACATCAACAATCGCAATTAAATTCTTTGGGTTCCTACAGAACTTCGCAACCTGTTAACAGGCCATCACCACAATCTTCACCTAGTTTAACCGTACAAGTAAGTTAAATAATTCAATAGATCAATCGATCACAATTGTTTCATACCTTTCAAAATATTCGATTCAATAAAATTCATTTGTTCGTTCATTTATTTAATTTTAATTTTGTTCAAATAAATAATACACACGATTAAATTGATCGATCTATGGTGTATTAAATAAGTATAATATTGTCAATGGGGCAAACAAATAAATCGCATTATTTTGTATTCGTTTTTTTTTTTCAAGGGGAGTCCATTAAGTTATAGCAATAATCCATCAGCTCCGCCAAGTCCAACAGGACATCCTGGTCCACCGACCCTAACCTCGGATGGAATAGATCAAAACAGTTACGTCATTAACCAAGCACAAGCTGCTGAACTTCAACAAGACTTTGAACAATTCACGATGGTAAATTAACGTTATGTTTTTTTATTTAAACCTACGAATGTGTGTGTATGCGTGTGAATACGCGCGTGTTTACGTATAAACAATAAATTTCTATCCTGAAAATAATAATTATCCCAATTATAAATGATACACAAAAATGGATTGTCCATATACTCATAAAGTATAACAAAAAGAAATTAATTTTATTAATAATAATGATAAATAAATCGGTGGGTTTAAGAAGGTGGGAAGGAGAGGGGGGATTGTTAGTTTAATGGTAGTTAAAAACCATGGTGTTTATCTGTTACCCGCATTCGTCAGGATTGGCCGAAATTCGCACAGCAGCTGATGGAACTTGGTTGCACCTGGACAACGCAGATAGAGGTGATGAGATCCTTTCCTCTCATCCGTCTTGTTTTATTTTTTTTTTCCTTTTCGATCGATCTATCGTTTAAGTTCCATATATTTTATATATTTATTTAATTTACAAAATGAGACACAAGGTAATCCTATAAGTACAATAATACATTTGATCATATCGTAAACGTATCTGTTGCAATTATTTTTGTATTGTTTATCATATTATATCATGAATTAAAAGAAAGTTTATAAAGAAATCAAATTGTACTATGTGTAAGTTTGTGATATATTTCATATGTGTATACTAAAGGATTATCTAATATAGGATAGTATATTTGTATTTTCGTTAAAAATAATGTTTAATTTTGACCAATAAACGTCAAATCGTTCGTTTGTTTTTCTGTTTAATTTAGATGGACACCCCTGTCTCTGCTAACACGATTGGAAGTTACATTAGTTCGCCTAATCACACGACGAGTTATTCACAGGTGAATAGGAAAACATTGTAATATTAAAAGAAAATTATTATTATTAATATTTTTTGTGTGGTTTACTTTTAATATTAATTCGATTAAAGTAGAATTTTTCTTTCTTCGATATATTCCAAGCATTGTTTATCATTGAAATTATTATGTTGTTTGTTGGTATATTACAGAACGACATGATAAATGTCGGCGGTGATTTAGGCAGCGGAGATGGCGGATATTATAGCCCGAATCCCCAAGTGGGGTATCAACCAACGAACACGTCAACGACGACGGCACAACAATTGACTCCACAAACGCCAAACACACCTACGATCATACTCACAGGTAAATGAAATATTATTATTGAAATCTTGTAATATATTAGAAATATTTCTTTTTTCTTTTTCTTAATGGTATGTCACACGCGATATGAAAATGAAAATATTAATAATTTCAAACAAAATAAAATGTGTTATATTTGTTTAGATTTTTCTGGAGCGGACGATCTGACCAATCCAGAATTTGTGAAAGATCTAGGAACGGCAATGATGAGCGATTTTGAATCAGAACTTTTTCCAACGGACGATGCCCTTAGACAGGGTTTGGGTCAAATTGACGTTGATGGTTTACAAATGCTCACAGACCCAACCGTGGTGATATCTGATCCCAGTGCAGAAGCGCACTTCAGGTTAGATCGGCTCTAAAAAGCCCAATCCAAGGCTCAGAGAAATAAAATAAAAAGGAAAAACAGAAAGAGAGAAAGATATATATAAAAAGAGAGAGAGAAGGAAAGAGAATACGCTGGCTTGGCCGATTAATTAAAAGTAGGACAAAACTAATTCTGTCTCTTGGTGTCGCGATCAAAAAAA